ATTGCAGTTCATGAAATGTGGTCAGCTGGAGCCTACTTACCAAACTAAAAAATCGCGCAAAATAGTTTTAACAGGTGATCAATCATCAGGGGTGTCAGTTAAATACAATAGAAGGACACCGGTGAAAACCGGAAGTCTTGTTTTATCTTCAGATGAAAACTCGAATCCTCGTGGGTTTGTTTCACATTACCATTTATTGACGTTAGACTTATGTTAGAGCCATGTGGCACCTTACCAGAGACCATGCCATTGCTCGTCATTCGGATTTTCAATGTACTCCAATGCGAGTCGGTGAACACAGATTAACATACTGTGAACGTTTTGATACGTTCACTTTGTTACCCTGTGTTACCGCTTCCCTTGTTTAATGAAAACATGCCTATTAATGCATTTCGAGATATTCTTAATCATAAATCAGGTGTACTTGACTTTTGGTTCATCCCATATGGACTATAGATTTGTACGAAATAGGAAAAACCCCGTTTACTGAGCGCACAGACGCACAGTTGAGTCGGGCAACTAAGACGGATGGATGGCCGGACCATCGAGGTTTTGGTAGGGCACGTACACACACAATTGATTGCGCACATGCTTGTGGACCGATTCATGCGTGGTTTATGATCATTTTCCGATGAGGATGGGAGGGGGAGGGGCGATTGTGGACATATAGACGGATGAGGTAAGAAATTCCCAACGTATGTGTGCGCTCGCTCATACGACAGATATAAAAAGCCCAACCGGAAGGCAAATGTACCCAAAGGTTCTCTGCATGAGTGCGTGCGTGCACTGTGTCACGCAATTTCCTGAGATTGGGCGGTGAATGTGGGGTGAGGTGCGTTGCGATTGAACCACATACATGAAAGTAAATCACACATGAACCTGAGGTATGCATTAACCCAAATACTAAACCAATGTCGTTGATTGCCGGGCACTGTGTATTGTGAGTAGTCAATCACGCAGATATATGGTGGGTTCTGGATGTTTGAATGTTCGTATATGGAAGATCATGATCTGGCTTCTGATTCGTGATTTTGGGTACGGTGTCAGTACGGCCTGGCCGCAGTGGTATACGAGCAAGAGGAGGAAACTAATCCACCTCGAAACTAACTGTTGCTCAAATATCTACTAGTGCCGTATTCAGAACAAAAGCATGGAGACCATGGTCGTTTTCAGACATTTATAATCAAAGTAATACGTATACGATGCGTGAGAATGTGATGAGTAGTCATTCATCAAAGGCTAGATAGAAGATTCTACGCGGTGTATCGAAAAACCACATCCAAATGCAAACTGATGTGTTTTTGACTAAAAGACAAGTGTCAAATCGTGTTGTGTTATTTGTGTATTTGTTGTCGTGTGCCTGAGGAGCTACGTAAATTAACTGTTCGACCGGGCACTTATCCGATAGCATTTTGCTTAACGTAGGGTTTGGTCGAATACGGAAGCACTCCATTAAATCTATGCATGCAGTGAAAGCAGATTAATACCAATTACAATGATCGTAGTAGTAGGCAATTACAAACAGTCAAGTGCAGCATACAAACCACAAACCAGGTCGTAATCATTAGCATCGACACTGCGTGCTTCGAATGCATTTTGGTCCGCTCCATTTTCCTCAGCAAGTGTGCAACCACGCTCATTCATGTGAACACACTATTCAAGTCACCCATGAATCATGAGCATAGCAACCTGCAAGGCATTCTACGAAAATATTCTGAGACAGATATTTGTTGCAAAGTTTTGTTGGACGCATCCTCTTCACATAACATGCAAATACAACACACTGAGATGGCTGAAATCATAACGCAATGACACAGTCCCACTGTTCCTGACAAAACCAAATCTTCGAAGGTTCACTTTTTCCTGCTGGACTCATTGTGGAGTTCACTCAAATGAATTGGTAACTGAATTCAACAAATTTTCCAAATTTTGGAAAACCCCGCTTGTCCAAAGGATGCTCGTGTTTTGTCTCACATTCTTTTCAAAAATGTAGTGTCAATTTTATCTCATATATGTAGATGCTTACCTGCAAACATATACATGCATACATATACGGAACAATCATCATACTCTAGTAGGATGATGAGTGTGGTTTCCAGACAGGAGATTATGAAGATGTCTGAGATGCTGAAATGTTTTCGTTAGTTGAGTTGAGGGGCGACAATGTAGAACATTCCATGGAACATCCCTGTACAGGTTATGTTTGGTTTAACAGGGCTGTATTCATCTTTATCCCTCTATTAGGGGGAGGGATCAAAGGGGATGCCACTTAACAACGAAAGCATCTAAGCACCGTTGGACAAGGAACAACTCAGTTGCAAAAAATAACCAGACTAAAGTGTGGCTAGCATGGATGATGTGCTGAACCTTCCTAGTCCACTGAGTTGTGAAATATTATCGGATTTGGTGTCCATTGGTCTAATAGCGCCGTGTTCGTGAATCTCAGACACTTGCTGCAAAACTTCTCTTACATTATATAAATAACGAGAACACAACATGCGCCTCTTCTAATCCTCAGAAACAACAGAAGCCGCTCAATGGAAGATTGAGTTCATCTAATCTTCGCGTGCGCATGTGCAAAACTCGACACCATGCATATGAACAAGGAAACCTACTCAACCGATGCAGTAAATGTGGGTGGTTGAATAAAACTGGGTGTGATTACATAATGATCAGGTAGAATGTAACAGACGGAAGACAAGTAGGTGAAATGAGGAGGATCAGGTTTCCTATTACTCAAATGTAGACAACAACACCCTGTTTGGGACATGATAACCTTCGGAAAGAGGATTTTGCATTTGCGTAACACAAGCAACTATCATAGTTATGTCAATAACCAAGTGTAATTTTTGACTTATCTACGTCAATTATTCTTCCGCACATCCAATAAAAGAGTATTATGCTCATCGCGAGAGGGTCATTAAAAATGGAACGCATATGCATCATAGCCTTGAGCTGTAGTTGAAGTAACTAGGATTGACAATGTACAATTGTCACAATTGTCTACATATACCTGTTCTTTTCTCCGGGTCTAATAGTCACAAGCGATAAGTACATTGCATCTTACGACTTGCAACAAACTTTACTAGATTAACTGTCCTGGATAACTGTATATGTACTTCCATGGACTACTGATTGTTTTTGAGTGCACAACATGATGGGTGTCAAAGAGTAGCTATGGCTAAAATTGATAGCCTAACACTCTGTGATTGTTCATCACTAGGATTTATCTTAGCACGCACTTAACGTTTCTGTTTCGCGAACCCGTGTATAGAATTCCATTCCATCAGATGATCATACCACAAAGCATGATTCAAGGTCTTGAACCTCGTTATGCAGCCATTATTACTCCACAGTGTTGAATTGTGCATGTGTGTTGGAAGGAATCGAAGGAATCGACCGATTGAAACATGGAATTCTTGGTAATAGAAATGTTTCCACTGATCACTTATCTCTGTCGAAATCGTGAGCGAAACTTCATCTTTCAAAAGACTATTCAACCATGTAATCGTAAAATTACATATCTTACTCCCCACTACAGGATATGCCCAACGACTGCAATTTATCAGGAGTGCGCCAGTTCCTCCCTGTTCGTCGAAATCGAACTTCAAACTTTGATGTTGGTGAACACAGTCGTTGGTGGGCACATTAATCATATATTTTTCGTTTAAAACTGACCGCATAGCCCATCTGTTAATTGACTCAGACAACACAGATGGACTATTTAATTACGTCATCACAGTACTCAGTAACTCCTAAGGAACTTTCCTCACCAGAGTAGCAATAGTCTTTGCTACTAATGGTTACAAATTGATTTGTCTGAAAATAGAAGTATGAAATAATTATTGCATGTTCATAGTGCAGTCCATTCCTTTTCAGGACCAAATAATAGCATCCAATTTAGTATGACGTAATAAGTCTCACACTGTTCGATCCAGATGGTGGAGTGTGTTGAACATGGCGAACGTGGCGAATAAAGAATCAAACAAAAAGTTATGCAACACCTCAGATAACTAAAGGGATTACAACACTCGATTATAATTTGTCTGCTCTAAGCGGTTATGTGCTCTCATTAATCAGATAGTTCTTTAACCGCTAGGAGCTCATACCGCAATCCGATTCGTGAATATAACCCAGGTCGTTGGATATCCAATGAAAAATTTGAAGTAAGCGATTGCATGAATTTACTGATAGCAAATTCTTATTCGTTCGATTCGATTTGGTGTTCACTGTATGTTAGGACTCGTTGATTAAGTGAAGGTCCTCTTACTGGATAAAAATGTTGAACTATGGTAATTAATTTCAGCGACGAAACTCCATACAATTGCGGAGTTAGTTAGATTCCGTTGTAAAACGAATAGCCTGAGAAAATGAGTACGGCGTATAGTAATGAATCTATTCTATCAACACAGCGATCTTTCCTATCATACTTTATTTGGCAAAGGGAACAAGATGCTCTACGTGGTTTGACTTGGTCTGTGCAAGCCTGTTTTAAACATCTTGCCGGCGCTTCAGATTGGTGAACCAGAAAAATGCCATGATGCGTATACAGTCGTTCTGAAAAAAAATCCCCTATGAGTTTCTAATTAATATTTTCATATTCTTTCAAGTATTTTTGTGAAAATCAAACCAGAAATCATTATCATTCCCGTTGTTTATTCAGGGTTTGAGTACAATTGTGAGAATAATGAGAACGCGACCCTTTTTATACACAATTCAGAAGTGAAACAGGTAACGCTTATTTAATGTTTGTACTACGGTACCTTTAAAAGTTCACAGCTAGACCTCCTTCTGAGTCGTTTCACCTCATAGGCATATGATTTATTTAAGCGCAAGCTTCGATTCTGAGCTAACTATTTGGAGAGTATGGGGTTGATGGTGGGCAATGAATATAAATCGATCTACGGGGATGAGCAAGGGTCTAATGAAACAGGTGATGTGATTACCAAGGGAATCACACCAGTGTCTGTACCCGATGGTCAGAGAAGGAGTCCACTAACCTCTAACGGTTCAGCCTGGAGCAGATAGTGTGAAGTCTGTATAACATCCGTCGCATGCAGGGAGTTGTGATAAGGCACATCAGGATGATAGTTCTGTTCCAATCGAATCAAGTAGCGTACAAGTGTGGCCGGATCGATGGAGAAAATACGCATCAAATCGCGTTTCTGTCAAAANGTCGAGAGGAGAGAGAAAAAAAGGAGAAGAACGGAATCGATCAGTAGATAGTTGTTGTAAGTTGTTTGAATGCAAAAGTGTTTTAATGAGGATTGGCTAGTGGATGCATTTTCGTGCGTTGTTCTTTATCCGTACGTTGATGTCTATGTGCTTCGGTTTATTTCTGTCAACTTTAAACGCAGTTAGTTTCCAAGCTACTCTATTTGTAAATGCAACCAATCTAGATACTACTGGTTCAGAAGAGTCATAAAACCAAGCGTGTTTACGATGAGTTTGTGGCACGAAACTCACCAGTGTTGAGCACTTGGTGCAAGACACATTGTAACAAGATGACATCAATGTTTTTCGTGTTAATTTCACCTGTATAAATGAATTCATCGTTTGCCACATTCTGTTTAATAGCAGTTCCAAAATTTAAACTGCGTTAGACTGTGATCTATTTCCAGATGCACGATCTTACATTAGGATGACACACATTTGGGCTGACACATCAAAATCACTGAGTTCAATCTTGCCTCAAATCATCGAATCAGGAAACTAGAATACAAACATATTTGGAAGCGCATCATCTGTAATGAACAATTTATTCAGTTTTAAATTAGTTCAAGTTAACCATCAATAATCATTTTATATAATTGAGAAGCCCCGATCCTTCAAAAAGCTGGCCTAGAACGATCCAAAATTAAAATCTCCTTGTTTGATGATATTTATTATTTGATCACTGATCTAATTCATTTTTATCAAACCAATCTCATATACTATTCTCATGTACAAAGCAATGAGCGCGAAAAGAACTATCAAGACAACTGAACACATTTCCGTTCACAGCTGATGAGGCCTGCTAATTCTGTAATTTCCTCAACTTTCTTCTCTTCCATGTCACAAGACTTTCATTGTACCAGATAAAACATTTCGGAATATACAGTTCCTTAAAATGACTCGGTCAGAGTCCGTCACGTTCTGTGAACCAGATTGCATCCGTGGCAGAAGTTGAATGTGACGGTTGATGAAAAAGCGTGTACTTTGTGACTTCATTCCCAAATTTATACGGACGATTACAGGAAAATAAAAAAATCGGCAATACGTACGGTGGAGCATAATACCAAGTCAGTCAGTAATTTGACGATATCCAACAGCAAAATGGCTTATTGATCGCAAAAGAAAAGAAAACAATGGTTTACTTAATTAGTGTATCACATTGCGTACACATTATTCCCCGGAATCGTTTTAGCCAGTTGCTGTTGTTGTTGTTTTTTCTCAGAAGTTTTGTTGATTCTTTTCCGAAATAATCTCTGATTGACTTAAAGGTCATTCTGTTCTGCTAATCCCCTTCGCGTAGGACAATGATTTGTCTCAACCGTATTCCATCAATAACATTAGGATCCGATATTTTCCCGGTCAAGTCACGTGAATTCATACTCAAGAATCGTTCGCACTCATTCTATTCCACAACCTCCCACTAGCAAGCACAGATAAACATATATGTATATGTATTCAATCGGTAACGTGCTTGGGGTGGCGGTGGTGAGGGAGAGACATCTGAGAAGAGACTGAGGTGAATCATCCACCTAGGGTAGATAAAAATCCGCAACTTAGTCAACCGTTGGCATAGATGAAAAATAAAAAACATCGCGTGCTGTTGTGATACAAGCATGTGGCAAGTCAGACAGAAACAGCGGCAAAAGTACATGGAATGATCTTCGAACAAAACAGGGCTTGCCGAAATCCACTTGCAAGCACAAGTTTAGTATACGCATACGCATACACAAACACAGTTCCCACTCAAGGGTGAACGGTTTCGGTAGAGGCGGGAATACCAGGTGAAGTAAATCGGGCAATAAAAAGAAACGAAATCTCTCTGTCCGACGTTAAATGCATTGTTGATATCACTTCGGTTCAGCTTGGATGGGTCAACAGAAGGAAATTAGCTGCAGCAAAAAATCACAGTGGTGATGTTTTAATTTAACGTGATACAGGGGTTATTATTTAGTATGCGTAGACTGCAAATGTTAGATTGAACACCTGCTTATTGATTTTAGGAAGTCATAATAATCAGTAATAAATGACCTTTTCGATTTCGCATAGTTTCCAATGCAACCACCAGGATACGTGGGTTGATTAAGGTGTGCTGTTTCAAGAAAAACTACTTGAAATAGCTCCTTTTAGCTACGTCCACTCATTACTGCACGCTTTCACATCAATGGTTTAATCTGATCAAACAGATAGTGGCAGCCTGCCGATCATGTGACCTCATTCATTTGAGGTTCACGCCCCTGTTCATCCGGGGCAGTATCATTTAAAAATCAATCTCTCTTCGTTCAACTGGAACGGTTAATTTACAGCGGCAAACGTTTCACATTATTGCTAAGCGATATTTCACCATAGAACCTTTAACTTGCCCTCTGGTGGAAGTGGCCCGTTTTTCCTCAGGTCAAAGGTTTATGGACAAACTGCTACTGAAATCATACAAAGATCCACTATTTTCTCAACTGCGTTGTGTTTGTCACTGATTATCTATTCCAGAAACTCTTTTCTTTTGCGGCCCTGGGCTGATTTCTATGCGTGTGAAATCCAGAAAGGGGATCCCTGGTATTCAAGATGGGGAAGTACAATGTATTCGAATTCTGCAACCGCGGCTCATAATAAATAAAACTGGTGAGCAACACATTGGTCTGAGTTTTATGCGGATGTTCGTCGTGTCTAGATGTTGTGTCCGGATCTCGTTTGATCACAATATACACACAACAAGATATCACACGATGAC